TTAAGAGGGTGCAACACCAGTCGTTTTATATTGAAAATATTGCATTCGTATTTCAAATGCTACGAAGTCAATAATAGTCGTAGACTCATAAGTAATACATTGTTTGAAAGGTGGTAGTTTTTGCTATGTTTTGTTGGAATCAGATATTTGATATTGTAATTAATTATCTAAAATATAAGAAAATCAATATTTACAAAATGGTCTTTTTCTATGCCGTAATGCTCGCTTGTTAATACTATTTTCAGAAATCGGTTTCCAACAAAACATAGAAAAAATTATCACCTTTCAAACAGTGTATTACTTATGGGTGTACGACCATTATTGACTTCGTAGCATTTGAAATTCGAAAAAGGGTTTTACAAAAAAGTGTATAGTTTATTCACACCGTCAGCTGGCGCACCTAGCGGCTAGCTACATTGTGAATTTTGCCTACTATCGGTCCGTCCTGCAGGCTGCAATAATTATTATAAAAATAGCACTGCCGGCTACCGCGAATCGCGATAACGTCGAATTCTCGTAATCCTGTATAATTATAATTTATATCTTACTCACTCTACACAATATTATATTTTAACAAAATTGATATTGTTTCTACTAGTTTTGTCAAATTTATTATGCGTCTATGCAATTGAAAGTGTTCAGTTGACTACTAGGCTTCTAGACTGTAGTGTATTTTTTTCCGGGTTTACACATTTACATTTGTTTTGTTAAATTTTTTAAATGGATAAGCATAAAGTTGGTAATTCCAATAAAAGGCGGATAGCACCGTCTAGACGTAAAAGTATAAAAAAATTAAGCCTTGAAAGAATTAATAATTTTACTAAAATAACACCAAAATGGTAAGTAATATTTGTATTAAATTATTATATAGACAAAAAGTATATAGTTAGACTAAGAGTCATACCTATTATTTTTATACACAGGGAACCTACCACATCGATCAGTGAATTATTACCATCTGAAGAAACTGCAGAACCTTCACCATTTATGTAAATTTAAATGCTTTATAAATTAAATATTAAGATTGCGTGTAGTGTGTAATATTGAAATATGATAAAACCATAAAAATTTGAAGGTATTTTGTAGTTGAAATTTCATAAAATTTTAAATACTTATACCTAAGATTTGAAAATTTGGTACAAGGTTCCTCAAAAGTTTTTCTTCAAATTTCTATGAAAAAAACTACCGGAATAATACCGAACATTTTTATGAGCAATGTAAATTTAAATTTTTACGAAATCACGTAAAATAACGATTTAGTCTCAAACGATTTTTGATATTTGTTTTTATTCAAAAAGTATAAATTATAGAGACTTGAAATTTCCACCAGTTGTTTAAAGTGACTTTTTATCCCATATTTTATTTTTTCGATATATTTCGATAATTTCCAACTATTTTTAGGCATTTGAAATATTCAATTTTAGATTCTGAGCGGAGCGATGAATGTATTGATTTTACAATGATGTGTTTTTATATTTATTTATTTATTTATTTTTTGTGTGCAGTAAAAGTGTTTCGATTTTCTACAACAGCAACTTTTCTGGTAGGAAAGTGAATCTAGTTGGTGCATTCGGGAGATCAAAGTTTTAAATTTCCAATAGTTTTCAAAAGCGACAGGAAAAACAAACAAAAAATTAAGGAAAAACGGGAATTTTTACGCAAAACCAGTTTTTGAAAAAATGAATTTTGGTTTTTAGTGTAATTCTAACAAAAATGACCGTAGATACATGAAATTTTCACTGAATATTTGTGTTACCGTTTTTTGTACAAAATAAAAATCTAAAATATTTTGATTCGTGTTAAACTATTTAGAGGCATATGATATTTTCGATTATTATTTCTTTTTTTTATACTAAAGTTGATAAAAAAATTTTGGCTGTGTCAAAACACTTGTAAATGTAATACAGGGTACCTTGTAGGTTTTTGTTAATGGAAATTAAAAAAAAAAGTTAGCGTAAATTCACAATAATTTTTTATGAGCGTTCAAACTTAGAATTTTGACAAAATTCGCAAAAATCACGAAAATTAGCAAATTATATTTAGTTAGAAATTCACAAAAATTTTTCTATTTATATCTAAGATTTGAAAATTGAATACAAGATTGCATATCAAATTAAATTTTAATGTGCGTTTGAAATTGAAATTTTTATAACACTGGATATTCACTCGATTTCTCTTGTAGCAATTTTCTTATTTTGTTGTAATTCAAAAACGAATTACTGTAGACACTTGAAATTTACACCAAATGTTAATTTCTTCAATTCGTATACTTGATAAAATTTTCAAAATATTTTGACTCGTTTTAAGCTGTTTACGGACATTTGTCATTTTCATTTTTTTTTTCTATAAATATCAATGAAATTTTATTGGTTGGGTCGAACAATATGAAAATATAATACAAGACTCTTGATAAATTTTTACAATAGCAGTTGAAAAATATAAAAAATACATAGGCACGATTTTTTTTTTAAGCATTTAAAGTTCAAATTTTGACAATATTTATCAAATTGAAAATTTAAAATGATTTTGTAGTTTAAAATGTATAAATTTTTTTGTATTCATAACTAAGAATTTAAAATTTAACACAAAGTGAAAGTTTCAAGTTTCCACGACTTATACTTTTTTAATAATAATTAATATCCAAAATCGTTTGAGGATAAATCGTTATTTTTCGAGATTGTGTAAAAATTTAAATTTCAGATGCTCATAAAAAGTTTTTGTGCAATGAGGACGTTTGAGTTTTTTTATAATTATTATAAGCAAAACATATGGACAATCTTTTATTAAATTTATAAATGTATTGTATACAGCTTACGTATTTTAATTAAATAACTATCTAAAATGTATATTATTATTAGAGAATCCATTCTGACTAGTACACCAAAAAATATTCAGATCAGTTATTTAAATACCAATTTGGTGGATACAGAAACTGAATCTAATTTATTGTTTGGCAACGTTTCCGATGTTGAACACCATAAGCTATGTGCAGAAACATATGTATCATCCTCTTCATCATCATATACTGATACAGTAATCTCTAAGTACGTAATTCGAATGCTATATGTATATATTATATATTTAAACATTAAATTAATATTTAAAAATAATCGTAATATAGTTGACATTCTAAGATTCTTATATATTCTCAACGTCAACATACCTATATGGTAATATAGTATAAAGTATGCAATATGGACCTACTAATAAAATATTATATATTTATATGTACAAATAACATCGGGAAAATTATAAAACGTATTATTTATATTTCTATTTTGTTTACTTTTTCGTATTATTATTATTTAGGAATTGCACTGGTCGGCGAATTGTCGATATAATGTATGTTTTTGAACAAATACAAAAAAGTAAACACGCAGGAAGTTTTGGTTGCTCATTCTTAGACATGCAATTTTTATCCGAAAAACTTTACGGATTCAGATCTTCATATATTTTTCAATGTAAAATGTGTAATTTAAAATCTTCGTTTGAATCTGAGAAAAGTGAACCAGAAGATTTTATTCCCATAAATCAAGCTATAGTTAGTGGGACAATTGCAGCTGGTATAGGCTATACGCAACTTGCTGAAGTACTTGTTTCCGCTGATATGCCATGTATGTCAAATACAACTTATAATGCAGTTTTATTGGTTATGAGTGAGAATATACATAATGTGGCATTGAAAGAAATGCAAATAGCAGGGGAAGAGGAAAAAAAATTGGCAATAGCGGCAGGCGAAATTGACCATGATGGTACACCAATGTGTACCGTTGTAGCAGATGGCCAATGGTCAAAGCGTAGTTACAAAACGAAGTATGATGCTTTGTCTGGTGTTGTAAGTTGTTTTAATAAGTCTTATAAACATAATTAATAAAAAACATATTTTATTGAAATTTTTATAATTTTAGGCTACTATAATTGGGTATAAGACTAAAAAAATATTATTTATTGGTATTCGAAATCGATATTGCGTAATTTGCCAGAGAATTAAAAATAAGAAAACCGAAGGTTCTACTAACCATACATGCTTTATGAACTGGTCAAAAGGAGCAACTAGCATAGAAGCAGATGCGGTAGCTGAAGGTTTCAAAAAAAGTGTAGAAATGCATGGGTTAAAATATAATAAATTAATTGGTAAGATAATTATTTATGTAATTAATTATTATAATTATAGTATATAAGTAATGCAGTAGTTAAGTTGTGAATCCTATACAAATATTTGTTACGAAAACTGAAAACTGGATAAACATTTGAAATTTGATAAAAAAAAAAATTATATTGTCTTAGAACAAAAGTTATTTCATTTGTCTGGTCTTTCGGTGATAAGTTTTTATAAAAGTTCAAAAGTCATTGAGATAATTTAGGTAATTTGGTGATATGGTATTTAATTTCGTGATATAACTATATAAATATATAAATATATCACTGGCTTGTGCTCAAAATGATTTTTGATGTTTTAAAATGACTTAAAATATAAATTAATTTGAGGTGAAAACTTTAAGGAAATGCGTATCTGCAATAAGGAGTCATATATTATATATCTATATTCAAATTTATTTTTTGGTTTTTTTTATTAGTGATGTGAGTCTCGTACTAATGCTTAATTTTATATTTATCTTGTCTCCTTTACATAATATTGTAAAAAAATTCAACAGGTACACAATAAATTGAATTTTAATAAAAATTTACCGATTTTACCGTAATTTTACTCAGTAAATTACCAAAAAAATTTTTACGTAAAAATCCACATCACTAGTTTTTATCTTAAAGGAGATGGAGATTCTAGTGTTACTAAAAGGCTACAAGAGGTAATGCCATACGGTCCAAATTTTTTTATTCAAAAAATTGAGTGCCGTAACCATTTATTACGGAATTATGGCACAAAATTGACAGGAATAGTAAAAAATACGAAATATCCAATTTCAATCAGGAACCATATAAAAAAAAATCCCGTACGATTTCGGAGTGCCATAACTAAGGCCATGGATTACCGCAGCAAGTTGCAATATGAGACAGAAGAAGAGAAAATATTTGGTAAACGAATTTATTTTCCATACAAAATAATGTAAAATAAAAATGTATAATTAATAAATACCCTGCAGGTTTACGAAAAGATATCACAAATAGTTTTCGACATATTCTTGGTGACCATAGATTATGTGAACCGTATTTTTGCAATGGTCCTAAGCTAAACGAAACTAATTATATTGACGAAGCTCGGACTACTGGTTTGTTAGAAGAATTTATTCAAATAGTAAACCGCTTAGCAAATAATGCTGAAAGTTTATTGATGAACGTTGACAATAATATTTGTGAACAATTTAATAGCATCATAAATAAACACCTTTCCGGCAAACGAATAAATTTTTCACAAAGGCATAATTACAATGTCCGAGTAGAAGCAGCTTTACTATCTCACAACACATCTGGAAAATACATACGTACTATTCATAAAGCATTAGTTCAAGATAAAAGTCCTGGTAAGAAAATAAATAATTATAATATATACTATATGTATTATGTATATCTTAGGAGAATTTTAATTGAATGCGTTGATTTCAATTTTCAATCCTACAGCAAATAGATAATTATAATGCAACTTATAAATTATTGTGTATGATAATTTTGACGTTTTGTTTTTTTAGGAGATATTGGTAAAAAGTTCTTAATTTCAAAAGAAAAGAAAAATGATCAGAGAAGAAGACGTATGTTATTTAATGAAAATGTACCTAGAAACACTAAACATTACGGTCCGGACGCTGATTATGGGTTAGCCGAACCTCTAGAAAACGACGAACCCGTTGACTATGACGAAATTAAACTTAAATTTTTAAATACATTATGTATGAATATGTATCAGCGAAATACTCTTGAAGAAGAAACTCGAAGTCAATCAAATTCTAAAAAGTGGCACATAGAAAGACGAAACAGATTAACTGCCTCAAATTTTGGACGCGTATGCAAAAAAAGAGCCACTACATCATGTAAAAATCTGGTATATGATTTAGTATACAGAACTTTTAATTCAAAGGCTACGGAATATGGGAAAGCAATGGAATCTTCGGCAATTGCGGATTTCGAAAAAACTATGTTTTTAAAAGTTAAGCCATGTGGTTTATACTGCGATTTAGAATACTCATTTTTGGGAGCCAGTCCAGGTAATATTAAAAATATACTTTTTTATAATAGCGCATTATTACCAATGTTTTTTATTAAAAAATAATAAGAATCATTAGTATAAACAAAAAAAACAAAAACTGGGAAAGTCGCTCTGCTGTATAGTAGGTGTCGAGTGGGTAGGTCAAAGTGTATAGGTAAAAATTTTGTAAATACATAGGCACAGCTTTTTTTATTAGCGTTTAAAGTTCAAATATTTCCGAAATTCGTCAAAAACGCCAAAATTTGCAAGTCATTTTAAAGAAAAAAAATCATAAAATATTTAATATTCACCTAAGGTTTGAAATTTCAATACAAGGTTCCACATAAGTTTAAATTTAATTAATCAAAATAAACGTCGAATGATATTTCGTTAATATTTTTTATGAGCGTTTGTTTTTTAAATTCATTTAAAACTCATCAAAATTATTATATTAATAATAGAAAATTAATTAATATCAATATAAATGTAAAAATAGAAAATATTGACAAATCATCTCCGTTTTTCGTATACAATGATATCTATCATAGCATTCAAATTTAACCCACTCGACCCCTACTATACAGCAGAGCGCGACTTTCCCGGTTTTTTTAAAATTAGTTTGTCTCTTCAAAATATTGTAATTAGATTTAAAAATTCAGGAAATTATTTAATATAATTTGAATTCAATATATATTTTGTAAAAATTGTACAGATGGAGTGATTGATGATGACACTATTATTGAAGTTAAATGTCCAATATCAGCTAAGGATTATGATAATTTTATTGATGCTTTCAATGATAAAAAGGTATTATGAATAATTTTTAGCTCATACAATAGTTATTTTCTTTGTGGTAATAATTATTTTATTTCTGTATATAGTTGCCACAATGTGAACTTTTTGATAAAAAATTAAAATTAAAAAAAAATAGCAACTATTACTACCAGATCCAAGGACAAATGCATATTTGCAAAAAAACAAAATGTTATTTTGTCATTTATACTAGCTATTGGACAAGTATTGAAAGAGTAGATTATGATGATGATTTTTGGCGGACTAAAATGGCACCAAAATTAGAAAAGTCAGTATTTAAATAAATGTAATGACTAATGACTGTACAAAACTTAGCATATAAACTAATGTACGTTTATAATTATATATTTAATTAATATAATATTACGGTTTTATATCATTATTATAGTTTTTATATGAACTGTCTACTGCCGGAATTGATCAACCCACAATTTGGAAAGAGGTTACTTGTTTCCGATATAAAAGACCCGCGGTGAAGAATGTAAAACATTTTGTTAGTACATTTCATTATATTAAATAATCAATAAATTATTATTAAAAAAAAAAAAATGTCCAGAAGTGTTTAAGTACACATACATAATATACATAAACTTTTGTTATTATTGAAAAAAAATCCTTGTTCTACACTACTACTTTCAACTTTGCTTACTGTCTACTGTCTACTAGTAGCTGCAGCGAGCGTGCCGCGTGAATAGAATTATATATGGGTGAGATACCAACATTGACGCGAAACGTATAGTATGACCGTCCGTGGAATAATAATGCGCCTCTCCCGACACTGCGGCGTGTAGGACCTAGTTATGGATATAATGGGCGTGGTTACGGCCTGTCGCAACGGCCGTGATACGGCGAACAACGCCATCTCTGGAGCGTTGTATACGTTTCAATTTTACTGTTGCGCACTCTTAATTCCTTGACCAGCTTTGGAGTTGCATCCTTTCACTGAACAAGTTTTAACCATTTTTTATTTGAAAAAATATCAAATTAAATTTTAAAAAAAATAAAAAACGTGTAATTAGCAAAACAGCATAAAAAACACATGTAAACACAAAGTCACAACTACTGAACTACGCAAGTAGGTACTAGGTACGTCCAATGTCCAGTGGGGGGGAGTGAGGATTTGTTTACACAACAAAATTTTTTAATATTTAAAAAAATTAGAATCTAGCACAATAGTTTTTTTTTTCAAATATTGGTCACACTGTATTTCCCCCAAGGTCTCTTTTCTCTCTTTAACCATATCGACGCCACGTTTCTCTGTCTAAGCGCAGTCCATTAGTTTATAGGGCTGTATATAAACAATTACGTTATCTTATCAATCATGTGTTATCACTAATTGGTGGTCCAACAAATAACGAATACTGCAGCTGTAGTTTGCTACTTTTTCACTGTTTTCAGCTTTGAATTAATTTCTTGTTTGTAAAAAATTTGTTATAATTATTTAAAATGCCGACTCTTTGTGCCGTTTTTGGTTGTGTAAACAAAACCTTGGACAAATCGTGTTCATTTTATCGGTTTCCAAAGGTTAAAGTGAATGCTGCCTCAGATTTAAGAACACAAATATTAAAACAGAGAACAGCGTGGCTTAACGCATTACACAGAACTGATGTTCATGATAGTCAGTTGAAGAACATGAGGATTTGTTCAGTTCATTTTAAATCTGGTAAATATTTTATTGGAAATAAACAATAGTTACTTAGTGGCTGTTTTGGTACCTACTTGTCTTTGACTAATATGCTACCTATTCATCTACAGACTACAATTAATAATCATACTTGTACAACTGAGACTGACTTTATAAAGTAGGGACTATAAGACCTATTTAATCTATAGACTAACACATTAGTGATTATGTGCACAAACATAAGAATTAATTAATAATAACTATAATCTATAAGTACCTATAGCTGCTGTATAAGTTATTTTTTTTATAATATTACTACACTACAAAAGTACTGGTACTTGGTAGCATATTATTAAACAAGTATTTATCAAGTATAATATTACTATAAATTATGATTTTTGTATTCAAATTATTTTATTTTAAGGTAAACCAGCCAATTACAATGATGAAAAAAATCCAGATTGGATACCAACCTTAAGCATGGGCTATAACTCTGTAAGAAGTAAATAATGTTATCATATTTCTTTTCTAAATTTTTAATTAACTATTATTTTTTTTTTCATATTAGGTAAAGCGACTACTCCTGCAATTAAAAGTTACAATCGTGCAAGTAGAAGAATGGAATTAAAACCTTCGCAATTGTTTCCAAATACTGTACAATTAAATGTGGTTGATTCTTCTGAACACAGTATGATCATTGATGTACCAAATGATATATCGAATAATGCTACTGAAGAAAGTGGAACAGCCTGTAATACTGACCTTAAGTTAAATGATATCAACGAGTTGGAGAATTTACGAGATAAGTGTTCTGAATTACAAAATCAAGTAGATTATTTTAACTTAAGTGAAAAAACATTTATTGGGCGGGAAAAAATGTTAACTTATTATACAGGACTGGAATCAATGGCTGTTTTTAATTTAGTATTGGATCAAATTAAACATGGACTAACTGCTAGTAATCAGAGATTGAACGAATTTCAAAAACTTTTATTGTGTCTAATGAAATTAAGATTAAACTTTCCATTTACTGATTTAGGATATAGATTTATTGTAACATGTTCAACAGCATCAATTATTTTCAGGAAAGTGATCATATTGTTAGAACACATGTTTAAAAATTTAATATATTGGCCAGAGAGGGAAGCGCTACGCAGTACAATGCCAAGATCATTTTTTAATATATTTGGCAATTCAGTTGCTGTTATTATTGATTGTTTTGAGATTGCTATAGAAAAACCATCAAATTTAAAAGCAAGGGCACAAACATGGTCATCATACAAAAATAAAAATACTGTAAAATATCTTATAGCTATAACTCCCCAGGTAAGTATTTCATATATATCAGATGGTTGGGGTGGTAGAGTTAGCGATAAACATATAACTGAAAATTGTAACTTTTTAAATAATTTAATTCCAGGAGATGTTGTTTTGGCCGACAGAGGATTTACTATTAATGAAAGTGTTGGTTTTCACTGTGCAACATTAAAGACTCCAGCTTTTACAAAAGGTTTACCCCAGTTACATCCATGCTCTGTTGAAGAAACCAGAAAAATTGCATCAGTTAGAATTCACGTTGAGCGAATTATTGGTCTTACTAGATCAAAATTTTAAATTTTAAATGGTCCAGTACAAATAACTACACTTAAACATCAAGATGATGAGACATGTCTATTAGATTCCATTGTAACAGTTTGTTGTGCATTAATAAATATGTGTAGTTCAGTTATACCTTTAAGTTAAAATTATTATAATTTTATTTT